AAATGTTGCTTACACAATAAGAAACAACTTTTGTATTTACAAAAATGCCTTAAATATAACTATTTAGGAGTAGTTGAGCAATTTATGCTTATGTAACCTATACATTTTTACTCTGTTTGACAAAAAACATTCTAATATCTTAAAAAAACTGTTCTTTTTAATTTGGCACATAGCACTAATTGTTCTTTATATCTAAGGTCTAAATACCCCCGCCGCAGCAAACCTGCAGAATTAGCAAACATTTACCTGGCTGAATTTCTACTAAAATATTAAAATTGTCATATTTAACCTATTTAATTTAAACATATTTAATTTTATCTCTGTTGCCAAAAAATCTAATAATTATAAAAAAGCTGTTATTTTGTAATTTGGCACATAGCACTAATTTGTCTTCTCATTTAAAGGTAAAATACCTGCAAAAAGCATTCGAGAAGCTTCTGACAGATATATAAGTTATTAAAATGATATAAAATATTTTTAAATTAATTTTTTGTTATTACATGACGCATACAAATTTTAAAAGAAATATATACCTTTCTATATAATGAATTTTTATTATTACAAATAATAATAAATATACGGATGTAACAGAAATTATTGTTATAATTCATAACATTTATTATTAAAACGGCGATGGAGCGGGAACGGGACCGGCGGCAAAGTTGGTGCATCGGCCAAGCATTGACGTCTCGTTAACACAACCAGTAACTTGACATTGGTGGTAGGCTGCTTTGGACTGATTGTATTGATATTGAACTAGTTTCGTGGATCATTAAATTTGAGCGCAGTTATTGGATCTAAATTATAAGCCTTTTAGGTTAAGAGGAATATTTTTTCCCTTTTATAGTCATCAGAAAATGAAACTGTTCACAATATACTTGTGTGCATTGCGGCAGTCAACTATAGGAACACTTCTACATTTAAAAAATGACAACACGGTATGCCAGCTAGTTTCGTACACATGTGTAGCTTTGATTGGGACAGGTTTTGAAGTTGCAGCCTTCTAATAGATCACTTGGGCAAAGTCAAATCAAATTTTGACCAAAAACCAACAAAGAGTAACCACCATCACTGTGTCCAAATCTCAAAGGATCAAGTTGAAAAACGTGTTCTTCCAAGCAATGGATTTGGATGTATGTACAATAAAAAGCACGTAAGATATGCTGTCTAGTAGCTCTACTAGACAGAATTTCTTCACGAGCAACGGATGCAGTTCTTTAAGAGTATTCGTTGTACAGTGACAGTACAAGAGACTCCAGTACATTGACAGTGATCCAGTGTCTTAAATCATTCATAGTTAGATCATTCATAGCTTCACACTGACTATCCTTTTTTTAATGTGAACTAAAAACTAAATACTTCTCTGTGGTTTTTCAAACTTTTTCTATCCCTTCCTCGCAATCTTTTCCAAAGTCCATTAGCAAAGTACTTGGATTACATTTTAGGGTAGCACGCTTTGTTCCAAATTTGCTGGCAAAGTCCCAGCCCGTTAAAATATGGAGTGTTGGGTGAACTGAGCAAAGGTTACTTCCAAGCCTGTTTGCTATAATGTGAACTAGTAGGTACATATCATGAGGTTCTGACTGAACCAAGTCGCATCCACAATTCCTGCAAACCTTCCGAAGAGAATCCATTCATAAAGTGCAAAGCCAACATTACGACATCCTGTATCCGAAGACAAAACTACGACTTAATTTGATAACTCGAGCAAAAATGATCCAATTTTAATGAAATTTATCACAAACGTGTAAACCTACGTTTTCAGACGAGTTTGGACTAATAAACCAGCATGAACGGACTATGGGAACGGGGGTTTGTGGGGAGTTTTATGGGGTAAAAATAGATTTTTCCGATTTTCGACCCTAAAAACACGAAATTTTATAATGAACCAAACAATTTTGTAGAGCTCAAAAAAGAAATAATTTTGTATATTGAAGCGTTTTTGTTTGCCCAAAAGTTACGGAGATAATAAAAAAATAAAATTCCCATGTTATTCTTAATGAGAATAAATAAACTGTTTTAGTTTCCTTGTTTATGGATATATTATAATCAAATTATTTGAAAATGTTGTTTCATTCATACTAAGCTATCAAAATTTCAATAAAAATATTAAAAAAAAAACACCTCAATACCTTTCCTAAAGCAGCAAACTTAAGTACTCATTACAAATCAATGTAATTTAAATAGGAAATCACTCTGTCAATTTTAATATTTTAGTAGAAATGCAGCCAGATAAATGTTTGCTTAGTCTGCAGGTTTGCTGCGGCGGGGGTATTTAGACCTTAGACGTAAATAGCAATTAGTGCTATGTGCCAAATTAAAAAGAACAGTTTTTTTTAGATATTAGAATTTTTTGTCAAACAGAGTAAAAATGTATAGGTTAAATTAGCATATATTGCTCAACTCCTCCTAAATAGTTATATTTAGGACATTTTTGTAAATACAAAAGTTGTTCCTCATTATGTAAGCAACATTTATTGTAATAAAAGTAACTCGCTATATATTACCGTTTTCGAGATATAAGCTCCCGATGAGTTTCATGTAAGAAATGCCGCCGCCATTTTTAAAATGGCGGATTCTGAGGTTGTGCCCACTCTGCCAAGCTGGCACCCACGTGAAAAATTATAACCCACATAGTACCTACATGATCCCTTAGGGTGTTTTTCTATACATAAAATGCACACGGGAACCCCCCTAGCAAGTGGATTATTAGTTAAATAGTATGAAAAAACGAAAATGCAATTAAAATTTCACAGAATGCATATTCCTACTGTTGGATATTGATTATTGTTCAAACGAAGTATTTCTATCTTGAAATATCCCGTGTAATCTTACAACATGTTTCGCGGTGACTGATCAGGAGGATGTACCAGAATATGTGGCCACTCGAAACAAGTACTAAAATTATATCCCTTAAGGCATTTGAAGGTGACGAATCTATATAATTAATACGCTACATGAAACTTTGTCGGTTGAACTCCTCCGCCATTTCTTAACCGATTTTATCCGTTGACGTCTCATTGGAAAGAGCGTGTCGCGTGGATTTGCAAACTGGCCTTACATTTTTGAAAAAGTCCCTTGGGCTTTGCCCCAGTGGCTGTTAAAGTTCCCATGTTATCCTTATGAAGAACATAATTGTTTACATTTTGATCAGCTGTATAATTTAATTGCTGTTATTTATTTTTCAATCCTATGAAACGCATTGCTTACATTTATTTACTATTTGAGTTTGTGTAAACATAACCCCCAAGATGGATCGTGTTAGTATGGTTGTATCTTAAATTTGTGTATTTATCGTTGTTTTGTGTCGCTATGACGGATCGTGTTAGCATTATTGTAACTTAAGTTTTTGCATTTATCGTTGTTTTGTGTAGCTATAATTTGTTTATTTGTTGTTGTTTTTTTCTTTTAAATGCCTCCGACGTGACGACAACGAAACATAGACAGGAGGCGCAATCGTGATAACGACCGCAGCTACAGAACAGTGGCGCGTAGTAGGCTTAAGTCAGCACCTGACCCTGGACAATCTCAACTATTAGGTTACAAATGCGCCCCAACACTACCCCAAAATGACTTTTCGTTCTCAATTGGCCCTCTATCAATTACCTGTGTTGCCTGTACAGCGAGGCATTTTGAGAAGGAGAAAACCGGCCGGAATGCTTTAGGTTTATCAATAACGAAGATAAACATGGTTTGAGTTACACACCGGTGATCTTTGAGTTGACTCTTTTAAACTCATTGTAAATATGACTGTTATTCGTTTTGAAATAACTCCTGTAATACTTTGGAATTGCTCGAATTCGAGCAACATGTACACTAGTTCTTTATTTAAAATAATACAGCAATCTTACTTTTATTATGAAATAAAATCAAATTATGTACAATTGTACATTTTACAATCTAGAACAAACCCTAAAGTATTTTTAAGAAATATAACACAAATTCACCGTACTAAACCCTTAAACAATAACTAAAACCAACTACAGTAAATGTATAGCACAATGTTGTTCTACAAGGCTTACAAGATAGCACGTAATCTAATCGCTGAAGGAATCACGAAGGGAGGCTCTCCTTCATTGCACTAATTACTGGAGTTCAATCAATGTACAGCTTGTTACTTCACTATATTGTCTCCAAACACTTGCAGTAATCAATTTATCACGGAGCGTGTCTTAATACAAGGGTGTCTTATAATGATTAATCTTTTGCTTTTTCTATAAAGATAAAAGTCAATTATCATTAGTAAATTTTTCTGGTTGCATTGGAATGGAAAAAATCGTAGAAATTATTTCATCCGCGTGAATATGTAATGTTGGAAATAAAAAGTGCTGGGGTTTTAAAAATGTTCAACTCTGCAAGTAGGAAATGTTCCTCGGTTAAATACAAGGAATTAGAGCAGTGCTCTTTTTGGCTTTTTGGTATGAAAAAAGATGCACTTCAACTTGGTGTCAGTTTTTTTTGGCCCGAGTTTATCACATTGGGAGGGCATTAATTGCGCCAACTGACCTGACCTGAGTCAGGTAGTCAGGTATTCCTGAATTTCGCCTATTACTCCAGGGAGCAACCCGATTCGTCCATTAACTGTGCCAAGTGGCGGCCCTCTTTGGCTGTTTTATCGAGTAGGTTAGGTTAGGTTAAGTTACGTTAGGTTAGGTTAGGATGATACGTAATCAAGGACATCTCTTTTGTCAGAAACTCACCCCTACCTGACTTGGGCTTGGCGCAACTAAGGAACATTCTTTGGGTCCCTTTAAGGGCTTGGCGCAATTAAGGAACTCTTTGGCGCAACCAATGCACGACCAACCCACTTCAATGCAGCTCTTGGTACAAAAAAGTCAACAACATTTTCATTCATCAGAACAATCCATTGAGAGAGAAGGATTTTGTCTTACCTCGAGTAGAATGAAAAAAGTCTTTGTTGAGTTCGCACAAAACAATAAATTCTACAATACAATATTCAGAAAGTATGTGACGTTAAAATTGTTATTCGGGGAGCTCACCTTTAATTTGAGGTTGGTGTGGATGTAGAGGGGGAAGCCCCGTAGTTGCGCCCCCACCAGGGTCTCCTCACTGTGGGGTACGAAGCCCACAATGCCGACGCTGTATTCCCGGCAATACTTGTCCAATAGTTCCCGGTTCCATTTGTCCATCTGCAGGTATTTGTTGAGGTTCTCGAACACAATCACACCGTACTTGCCCTTGTCAAGGTTGGTGAGCACCGGCAATGACTTGCCTGCCACTTCCACTTTGTACCTGGAACACAAAAATTAAAATTGTAAATATCTGTTTACTTGATTTTACAATTAGTGATGATTCATCATTAAATCATTAATGATCCTCAAAAAAGGTTTACTCAGGTATGGGCAAGACGGCTGGAATCCTTGTGAGTTCCAGAAAATTTAAAAAGTTTGTGAATACTGTGTATGGTAGAACCTGACTCCTGGGGATTAAACAATGGTCAAGGCCCGGGTCGTTCCAGGTAGAAAAAGGTTCAGGAGAAAGGTTCCAACATACAGACTATAGTGTATAAGTGTGTTGGAGAAACTATCTTCGTGAAGGTTCATTGCTCAATTTTGCAAAGGACAAGTAAGCACATTCATTGAAAGTTCAGTGCCAAATATTATAGTAGAGTGTAGGAGTGCAAAAGAACACTACTGTAATAAGAAAATCAAATAAAATAAAGACGTCCGAAGAAAAGTGCTAATAGCTATAAAAATCGTTCATGAAATCAAATTAAATGAAATGCAAATTTTTGATTTTTTCAGGCAAAGTTAGGGCTACATGGCCCTTTCTTACACTTAACCTGACATTCATAAATATATAGAAATACTAGCTGACCCGGCGAACTTCGTATCGCCTAAGTTATAGGTTTCCCCTAAGACAGACCGATGGAAAGAAAGTACCGTTACGTTTAATTTTCAAGATGATCTCGTTCGCATCGCTCAATCACGTCCTGGTTGAAGTTCGTTCGCTACGCTCACTCACCTTTGGGTTGGAACTCGTTCGCTGCGCTCACTTGCCTTTAGGTTGGAGCTCGTTCGCTACGCTAACTCGCCTCCAGGTTACAAATTAGCTAAGTTGACAATTTAGTCAACTTGAAACATGAATGTAGTTACAAATTAGCCTAAGTTATAGGTTTCCCCTAAGACAGACCGATGGAAAGAAAGTACCGTTACGTTTAATTTTCAAGATGATCTCGTTCGCATCGCTCAATCACGTCCTGGTTGAAGTTCGTTCGCTACGCTCACTCACCTTTTGGTTGCAAATTATAGTTCGGCCGCTTAGAAAACGACCTGCGCGCTAATGCTAAACCAATGCTGGAGGAGGTCGCTTTCTAAGCGGCCGAACTATAGCTGTTGTCATAAATGTAAAAGAAATAATAGTGCTGCACCCTGTTGGTAATCCTTGTAACTTTAATACTATTGAACATCATAGAACAGAACCAACTTGTTTAATTGAAACAGCTGTTAAGATTCATTAATTCCGTTTCTCATAAGGTTAACATGGGAAACTCCAGAGCCAATGGGGCGGAGCCCTTTTAAGTATTTCGAAACGGGAAATAGTTTACGTCCGATTCGCATACCTACAGAACTTACACACCAAATTTCATTACGATCGGTGAAGTCGTTCCGGAGGAGTTTGCAGACAAACACTGTGACACGAGAATCTATCTATATATATAATACGTGAAGCCGTTTTTTGTTAACGCAACTCCTCCCTTATATGTGGACCAATTTCAACGTTTGAGGTGTCAAAAGATTCGTCTCAATATGTAGTTTTGCAATAAGGTTTTAGAATTCTAAAATTCCTACTCTTAAGAGCGTGAGGCCCACTCAAAGGTCGGGGTTTCCCCATAAGAAATACATAGAACAAATTTAAAACCAAAAAACAGCTGTTTATAAGAAGCTGTAGCTTTTTGGGAGTAAATATTGATGTTTGTAATATGTAGTAGGTTAAGACCAAGTTAAACAGTTCAAATCAGTTTTGTTGGAAGAACAGAAAATGCCTCAAGTTCAAAGAAGAAATATTGAACACGGTAGTAGGACGCAATTAATAATAAGATATTTTGTGCGTATGAGGAGAGTAGAAAAAGAGAGACCTGGTCTAACAGATACCCATCCAGATAAACATTCACTTTGTGAGATGAATAATATTTGCCAGTTCTGCTATGCAACTTACTTTGGAAGTGAAAAAATATACGAAGCTCATAGTGTTGTCACGGTGGAAAAGTAAACTTGCCTAAATGTCAGATCAAAAATGAATGCATGCAAGAAATGTTTACTTCAGACACTGACAGATCGAGATATTTCAAAACATTTTGTTAAAATTACGTTAACCAACTTTCAATGGTGTTGCTGCTTTAGCCTATTCAAAGCAGGTTATGGTTGTTCAGTTGGTAACCCCAAGTTTGTGGGTAAAAAATGGAGCACATGAAATGGTTGACATCACCCCACTTTTCAGGTTACTCTACGGAGAAAATTCGTTTGATCGGGGGATGTCTCAAATTAAAGAAATAAAATGGCCCAACTTTAATTACTCAAGAAAGGTTATCAGTAAGGTAACAGTGTTCTTCAATTCTCAATGCTGGAAAACTTTGTTGCAACATATTAACTCGAATTGAGGCAGATCGTTTAGCATTCATTAGAAGTTATCAGTTAAAATCGAGAGCAGAAATGATGTAGGTGAACCTTGGTGACGCCATTAGAGATATTTAAAATTAGTTTCTAACAAGTTTTCAAATAACTCTAAGATGTAACTAAAGTTACTAGAATTTAAGCATAACGTTTTCCTCGGCGTGATGTTTCATACTAGCCGGCTCATTGAGCCGCACGGGTTCACTAGTTTTATATATTAGAGAAGATAGTACGGTGGGATTACCTAATCTAATTAAACACAAACACATTTAAGAATTTAAGTACATTTATTATAAAAAAAGCAAATAAAAAAAAAATACACACTTTCTTAACACGCATCAGCAAACGCGCAAAGAAACAGTAGCCTAGAAAACGCCAGCCGAGACTATCTGCTCAAAGTAGGGACTCTTTAAGGCTACAGCTACGCGACCTAAATGCGGCCATGTGGATGTCGTAAAATAAAACAAGGTTTTAACCCAAATAATGTAAATAAAATCAAATTATACACCAAACCAGGTCATTATAAAATCCAATGTTTCTGACAATCAAGGAGAATCCTTGTTTGTAGTATACTCGATTTTCCATACATAGCGTAGTGCCCCAGTCACAATTTATAGATGGCCAAATCAGAAATTATAGCTAATCCCAATTTATAGCCGATGTCTGATCACAAATTATGGCTAATACCCCAGTTTTAGTGTCACAGATTTGACATCGTCATTGAGCTGTCAAAGGACGAAAGCTGCCGGACAATAGACGACTGCCCTTTGAACAAAGGTGTTCATAGAGTAAAGAGCGCATCGATTACCCGTACCTGCTACGGGGCTCAATAGAGTATTGTGGTAAAAATAAAATTCGATTGATTTACAATAGCCAGACGTCAATTATATTGACGTCAATTAGGTCAATTATTTTAGTAGTCACACAAAAATCCTGTATATTTCAGGTAAAAGTTTCTGTCCTGGGAAATCAGTTTTTATAATAGTTTACAGAACGATCACGTGAAGATAGTCTTTCAGACAGGAGTAGAAGATTTAAGGTACAAGCCTTGGCGAGTGCCTTTAAAACTTCTACGAGTGTCTACGCGAGTTGCGTACACTACTGTACCTACGACCGTTTCATTACTAACAATCACTGCTCATAACGTCTAAGATGTTTTCGTTTGTGACCTCTCATTGCCACCGTGATGCAACTACTCATTGTCCCAACCACACTTATTGTATAATCAATTAAATTGGCATTTAGCTAATAAGTTGACGTTCGAAGCATTACAATTTCTTTCTCAATCCTTGAACCTCATTGGTCCAAACTTGAACTGTAAAGTACAAAATCAATTTTAAAAAGAATATTTTCTAAGAACTGAATTGGAAAAGCTAGTTTAAAAAACGTCGTAGGTAAAATAAATTACACACCATAAACCATTAACAATATGACACAATATTGATCCAAGGGGGGGGTGGTCCCCCCCCCTTGGCTACAGCCCCAGAGACCAAACGAGGCTAAGTTAAACGTCTCTGTGAAGATGTTTGGTTTACGAGTTAACACCCGCTGAGACAACCAACCACCTTCACAACGCAGTTACAACGTTACGCCCCACCCTGCTGAGCGTCTCACTCCCGGCGATTGTAAAATATATTTTACACATAATAATTTGTCAAATAAGTCCTTGAACTTTATCAACCTTCTAAGGTAACATTCCTAGACCAAAGAAAAACTAAAATAATAACATTTTATTATTTAACATTTTAAATATTGGACCGTTCCATTAATTCACTACCAATAGTTTTTAGAGCAATATATTATTAGCAAGTGGTGGTGAATTATACTTTTGTTAGGTCAGGTTAGGTTGGTATAGAGTTTAGTATAGTTAGAAAACCCTAACCTAACCTAACCACATTCCACTAGTGGCAGCGAATTAACGAAAAAGGCCCAAAATATCAGTAAACATTTTAAAAACTCATAAATTACCTGTACAACTGCTATTGTGGTGCTTTTTCAAAAAAATATTTTTTATTTGAATTTTTTTATGAATTGGAATTTGTTACATAAGTTATTAGCACAAACACAAATTTTAGTTTTAAAATGGCGGCCACTTAAAACTTTCTATCTGAAAAAAAAACTTTAATTTAATGTTTAATTTAGGCAATTTCTTTTCTTGAAGAAAATAAATTCATAAATAATGGAGGAAACTTTTTTTTTAGATACTGAAGGTATGTATCAATATTTGAGCTCATTGGGTAACTAACAACTAAAACAGCTGTTTATTTTAGCTTACTAGCAGTGAAATGTTACCCAATAATTTTGTTGGAAAACTATAAAAAATAAAATAGTTATCCTAAACTAATCTGATACAACTTACATAGGTACTGTAATAAGAATATCACACACAAAAATTAACTTTTGGACAAATAAGAATAAGGTGTTACCCACTTAAAACTTACATACTAAATATACAGTTCGATTATTATTATTTAATAAATTATTAAATAATATTAAATAATAAATAATAAAATAATCTAGCAAATTGATTAAAGTTGTATTTGAAATTATTGGGACTAAAACTTAAAAATCCTTTTTACATTTTGTAATACTAACGCAAAATAATAAATGTCTCATTAA